TAACGACTCAGTTCTAGAGGAGAGAACAGTACCTGATAGACGACGTCGCTGCTACTGAACAGTACCTGACCGCCGACAGCACACGAGCAATCGAGGGCACATGAGGGAGAGTGCTATAGCTGATGAGCCCACGTTTGATTCTTGGGGCATAAGGTGAAGGAAGATATAGGGTTCGGAGAGGATTTTTTTGGACGAATAGATTCGAAGAGGTGGGATGGGTGATAAATGGAGAGTTGTTCTATATTAAGGTCCATATTTATATGTCTTCAACTGACATAGTTTTAGCCGTTAGATTATTTGATTCTTACACTATCAAATACACCTTTTGGAATATGTGTGGTTAAAATGTGTGTTCCACTTTTAAGGTCCATATATGGAGGACTTATTATAGAATTTCGCAATAAATGAATAGTGTAGAATTTTGCGATAAATAAATAGGCGTAAGAGCATCTCCAGTGGACAGCCCAGCCCAGGCAAAAGGCCTACTCTCCCAAAATCTGCTCCAAGGGTGACATCTAGCCCAAATAAGGCCCAAGATAGGCACTGAACTCAACAAAGAAAAATGGGTTAATTAGGGCCCGTTCGGTAACGTTTTAAAGGATTATTTTTATTTTCAGAAAACAAAAATGAGGCAAAAACATGTTCGGTGCCCCAAAAACATAAAACACTAAGAATGCTTTCATAAAATGAAAACAAGTTCATGTGTACTTGTAGAAAATCGAAAAAAAGTTGTTTCCATTCTAATGGGAAACGTTTTCATAAAAATAACTTACATATTATTATTTCAAATTGTACTACCAGACACGTTTTCATTGTTTTTGTTTTCTGAAGATGTTTTCTATTAATCTACCAGACGCATTTTCATTTCCTGAAAATGCAAATTCGTTTTCTTATTTTCATTCTTTGAAAATACTATAAGAAAACATTCTTCGAAAATGTTACCAAACGGGCCCATTTTTTGTCACTAGATTTTGGATTGAAATCAAATTTGGTCACTGCAATTTTAATTTTCCCAATTTCGTCACCCTAATTGCAACAGTTAACAAATTCAGTCCAATTCCTCGATTCCGTCAATTTGCTTAATTAAAAAATATTTAAAATAAATAAATCGAAAGTAAATTATCTCTACCTCTCTCTCTTCCTATCCCCACCACAGATCGACTGCCTCCTCCCACATGAGAACATCTCAATGTCTCCTTTCCTCTTATTCTTCCTCATCAAACCCTCCCAGAAAATACACAGTTTGGAGTGCAAAATAATTGATTATGTTGTATACATTTCTTTAAATGGAGGAACTATGAGAAATCCAAAATCTATTTGTTAACATTTTGATAGGTTACAGATATAAAGCTTGTGTTTTGTTCACTCTCATCCATCAAATTCAGGAATTACTCATAGCCATAGACATCCAAAACTCTTATAAATTTTTGGGTTCAGTAATAGTCACAATTTCACAAACATCCAGAGTATGAGATTTTGAGTTTATAAAGAAGGACCCATAGCAATAATCAGCAAAAACTTGTGAGTTCATAAAAATACCCATAGGAGGCAGGATTAATGGGTATTTGAGTATTCCCTGAGAAAAAAAATTCCTGTAGATTCATCATTCATGTAGACTAAGAAAACAAATTCATGTAGATTCATATGCAGCATTTGGGTATTCCCTGGAAAAAGCTCAAGTTCGTCGGAGATGGCTGAGTTTCGTTGGAGGTGATGGAGGCTGTGAGAGAGAGATAGAGTAGAACTTTGGTGTGTGGGTGGGAGGAGGAAGAAGAAGGATAGGCGGCGAAGATACTGGGTTTGGGGTAGAGGTGTCAAACGGGCCGTGCCGGGCCTGCCCGTCCCATTTAAACTCGTACTTTTAACATTTTTGTGCCGTGCTGAGCCGACCCATTTAATTTATCGGGCCGTGCTGTGCCGGCCCATTTAATAAAATCATTTATCCTGGCCCGGCCCAAAGCCCATGTCCACATTGAAACGGGCCGGGACCGGGCCGGGCTCGTGCCGTGCTCGTGCTCATGCTCGTGCCGTGCCCGTGCTCGTGCTCGTGCCGTGCCCGTGCTCGTGCTCGTCCCATACTCGGGCCCAAGAACCAACCCATTGAATTTGAAAATTTTTCACTTGATTTTTTTTTTCCACTAGATAATTCAAATTGTAAACATTAAAAATATAATTAGAGGCAAGAAATGATGAACTATTTGAAAACATTAATCAATCAAACATCCAAAAAATATGAAGGGGCGGAGGGCAAAAAGTGTCCAACTCAACAAAGTCCACTTCAACTTTCCATATTTAAACAACTTATTATTTTATATGTGAAGAAATATCTTGCTTTGATTATAAGAGAAGCGTATATGTCATATGTATTGATTAGATATCAAGTCCAATGTTGTTTAATTAATTAAGGACCCAAGTAATTTCCCTAAAATGAAAGACATCAAATATATGTTTATGATTTGAAAAAAAAAAAATATAAACAATGACATTAGATGTCAAATTATTGCATTTTAACTTTTTGAGAAGAAAAAAAAAGCTAAATGGGCCGGGCTTGGGCTCGTGCTTGGGCTTGTGTCGTGCTTGAAGCGGGCTCGGGCCAAGCCCGGCCCATGTCAGGCCATGGGCCGACCCGGTTCATTGGACCTATTTTTTTATCCCGGCCCCGCCCAAGTTTTTGTGCCGTGCCAAGCACAGCCCATTAATATTCGTGCTCGTGCCGTGCCGTGCCTCATTTAAACGGGCTGGGCCGGCTCGTATCGTTTAACACCTCTAGTTTGGGGTGAGGTTGGTGACGGCTGGGGGGATTCGGTCGGGATTAATGGTTTTAATTGTTGTTACAATTTTTTAAAAAAAATATTATTTTAGATAATGTTTATTTTAAGTTAATTATTTTAATTTCATATTAAATATTTTTTTAATTAGGCAAATTTACGGAATTGAGGAATTGGACTGGACTTGTTAATTGCTGCAACTACGTGACGAAATTAGGAAAATTGAAATCACGATGACAAAATTTGATTTCTACGCGATGAAATCACGATGACAAATTTGACCAAAAATATAATTAACACAAGAAAAATTATTTTAAAAACTCGAAAAATTTTCTGAAAAATTATCAAAAACTTCAAATATTTTATACATACCTATCAAATTTTTATTTATTAATCTCATATATATAAATAAAATTAATCCCATATAATAGTAATTGCCCTTAGGTTGCCATGACAATGGGTGGAAAAGCACAAAAAAAATTGCTAGGTCATATACTATTCAAGTGAACATTAACCGCTCTTACTTGCTCTTACCCTTTGCCATGGCAAATGGGTGGAAGTGCTCTAAGGGAAACGTATTAGAGGTTGGGTGGGTGGGTGTGTCAATATAATAAGGGCATATTTACATATCAGTAATAGAGAAAGTAAGGAATAAGAGAACTTAGGAATTGGGGCAGTATTGAATCGATATGGAAAGAATCACTCCCATTAAGCTGTTTACTAAACATATGGAATTAGCAAAGGAATGGGGTTAATTCACATTGTTATTGTTTACTAATTTTCATGAATCAAAATCCAAATTAATTTGATTACTAAAATGTCCTGCACATTTTCACCACAACACATATAATTCTCAAATTGGCTAAGGAGACCAAACTAATCCTACAGCAAACTAGTAAGGCGGTGTAAACATGAGGAATCAATATGCTGAACAAGATGAACAGCAAGAGCCCAATTAAATGATAATGTTAATAACACCTTTGTCCAGAGCCAATTTCAAATGAAAAAATAAACTCCAATAAATATATATCTTTCACCTACGTAACTAGTGTTGAGGCCCAAAAAATCCACGGTTCGGCCCAAATAAATTCTCGGCCCAATGCAATACCTTACCGAGAAGAAACCCGATTTGGGCACGCGAAAGTTCTTCATATGCGCTTACACACATGCCACGTCAAGCAAATAAGTAACACGACACGCTACAAGCTTAAGTGGGCCCAAGCCACGCAAGATGCCTAAGGCTTGCTTGAGTGGGTTGTGGTATGGATGGTAATAAGTTGACATGAGGCCCATTGATAGGCCAAGAAATGGAAGTCCCGGGGTCGCTTGGGAGCCTCGGAACTCAGGCCCATTTCTTAGGCCCAAACATGTGGGTGAGCACAAAAGAGAAAATATCCCAACCAAAATAGCCTATTGACTCAACCAAAAAAAGCTCAATGCTTGATAGAGATAGCCCACTTACTCAATAAACCAACTTGGCCCATACAATTACAATAGAAGAGCTGCAAAGCTCCAGCACCTAGCTGAAGAACAAAGCCACGAAGGAAAGTCTAGAGGTTCACTATGCAGAGTTGCTGGGAAGTTCCAGCACATGGGAGGAACAAGTTTCAAGTAAAAACTTACAAAGGACCAAGGGATATTGGAGCGCAGATCACCATTTGAACCAGCATGCATACCCATTCTCTTTCCCTCATCATACCTGGCCATAAAAAAAAGGAAGAAAGGAAAGGAAGGAGATGGTTGAAAATGGGAGTTCTGAGGCAGTTGCGGGAGAGAGTCTTGATGTAATGACCTCAAAAATAATATTTGGTTTTATTATTTTTGTGGAAAATCTTATTAAGTCGTGTGACTATTTTGGGTGTTGTATGAATTTGGTTTGATGTAAAAATATTGGAATTAAGTGAGTTTAATCAAATTGGGACAAAAATACCCGTATGATTAAGTTTATGATTTTTCAAAGGAAGTACAAGAAATTGAAGTGAGAAAATTATGATTTTTGAATTGGAAAATCAAGATTGATTTCACAAACGCGTAGGCGCAAACGGTTCGTGAATCGGAGTTGAAACGAAGAAGTTATGCTCGTTTGAAGTTTCAGGGACTTAATTGCAAACAGAGACTTTGCCTATAAATATCATATGGACACTGTTGAGGGTTCAGAAATTGCAATTCAACCCGGAGGTTTGAGAGCTCGTCGGATAGGCGAATTCCGGCGGCTGTTGCGGCGGTGTACGGTGGAGGTGATCGACACCACCAACCCAGATAGAAAGCCTGCTATCTTGTGAGCATATCCCAAGAAGAATCGGAATCATCGGAGGTGTGGTGAAGGCACAGTGACGCCGTGAAGTTGGTTCGTCAACAGTGAATTCAACAACTTCAACCGGCGGTTTGAGCCACTTACACTTCGAATTGGACCTTGAGGTAAGAATTAAAGTTGTTCTACTCAGTATTATGAACATTTTGGGGTAGGTCTTGACCGGCGATTCTAGGGTTGGTCAGTCGCCGGAATAGTACCCGAACCACCACCGGCGGTGGCGGCGCGTGGCGGTGCAGGGTGGGGATTCTAAGTTAGGGCTTTAGAGACAGAATGTAGTCCTGGAGTTACTGAACATGATAGTATGTTTAAATTGTTGAGATTCCGTCGTTTAGTCGACGATCGGAGCCTCACAAATCTGGACCGTTGGTTGGAGATGATCGGACCGTTGGATCGTGTCCAATTTTAATTATGTTGTAGCTGGTATTGTGAGGATTTTGTAGGTTTAGACAGATTGATGATTGGATGTCCCGATCTTAAGGTATCATGTTTCAAAGTTAAGGCGAGCGATCGCCATTCGATCGTGTAATGTAGAATAATCCGACCATTGGATTGGGCCCGAATTGTCGTATGGTGATGTCCGGACTATTTAGAGTCTATTGGTGCAATCGGATTTGAAATCTGAGATTGTGGGCCCAAGGTGGATTTTTGGAGTGTCGGTTAGACATGTGGGACCCACGGGACCCAAATAGTGCCTTTTGGACAATAGGTGTCATTGGTCATGATTTGACGTCGACAGCACGTACATCACAGTTTTGAAGTTGGTTGGACGAGATTTGATCGCTTTGGATCCCCGGTTGGTCCAAAGGGCAATTTCGTCATTAGATACGAAATCTTGGATTTTGGAGTTTTGCGCTAAGTTGAGTTATGTACTTTGCTTAGGTACTGTTGGAGTTTGAGTTGCTCGTTGAAGTTTGGGATTGAGGATTCGTTAAGTTGTTGAAGAAGCAGCTTGGACGAGAGGTGAGTAAAACCATCCAAATCGTGAGTAAAATCACGAATTATTATATTTATTATAAGGTGACCTTGGATAATGTTAATGGCTATAATTAACATGTTGGTTGTGATTTTGTAAAATGTTTTAATTGATTTAAAACACATGAACTTGTTCATCAACGGTTCATGAGGTAAGTGAAACCTATTTTGTTTTGAATTAATTCTTTTTATTAGAGATTTTGGTGTTGAACCATATAACATATGTTGTGGATGTATGGTGGAAATTCATTCGTGAATAACCACATAAATATATATAATAAATAT